CTTTCAGATAGCGACGTACAAAATATGTGGTTAGAAATAAAGTTTATTTGACAAGCTAGAAATGAGTATTGACTACGATCTTCTTGGAAGATTGGATGATGTGTTGGGCACGTCGATTAGCGACTTGGTGGCAGAGTCGAGAACTCGGCATTGGTTTCTTAAGACGCAAAGTGGGCTGCAGACATCAATCGATGATAGAATTCGGCAATAATTCATGAAATCTCTAAAGCAAAGCCGATAGCCAGTATTGGTATGTTAAGGCGCATCTCAAGGAAGACGCAACGGGGGCGGCGAACGTCCGTTGAGGATAAAATCCGGCAACGATTCATGAGATCTCAGGGTTTGATGAGCAAACTTTGTTAAACGAAGAATGGAATTTCCAATAGAAGTCTTAGTATTGGMCGTCAGTTGAGCCCGTGACGTGAAGAGGCTGCTATGGAGTTTGATACACATTTTCTAGTTAAAGGTTATTTAGGATTAGCTGAAATTTTGTCGTACACTTAGTTGTTAAATAATATAAGTCCGAAGTTGGCGAGCAACAAGCTACACTTCGGTTTAATGAAAGACCATTTCATAAGTACTAAACGGTATTTGACTAGTATCTAACTAGTATCTAACTAGTATCTAACTGGTACCTAACTGGTATCTAACTGGCATCTAACTAGTATCTAACTGGTACCTAACTGGTATCTAACCAGTATCTATCCAGGATCAGTATCCGAATGATAACAGCATTCAAGCAGCCAAAGCTTGAACTGACAAATGAGAAAATTCTGAGGGAAGTCCTTCCACTAGGAGAATATCAAAAGTCGGCGACTTGCTCCTCTAAAGTATGCTTTCTGAAATACATGAGCTCGCTCCAAACCACAAAGCGAAATAATAAATTATTTCAATATTAATCTATTCTTTCAACAATCTCAAGCGAATCAGCCGCATCACACCCACCTTTCCAGTCCACAACAAGCGCAGCTAACTTTTTCCCACTTTTTATGAAAGAAATAAGTAATAAAAAAGCTGAAAATCGCACAAAAATCCACMGCAAACTGCAAAGCGCAGAACTGCACAAGCTCGGCTGCAATTGACGCGACGCGAATCTAAGTCTGCGCGCAAGTTGTGCGCACGCGCTAGCACCTGTGGCACGGCTGTTGCTGTCGCTGGTCGTTCGGTTTAAGCGTCAGCATTGAGCTTGTGTTTGACATGTCTTTGCGGTTGCGCAGCGCGCGCGGTCATGCGTTAAAACAACGGCAAGCGGACAACCGCACACATGTATCTATGGGTGTGTGTGTAGAGTCAGAAGCCGCGTCCAAAACACCAGGCGATTATGCATTTCGATTTCATTTTTTGTAGAGATTACACGTTTTTGCCTTCCCTCTGTCCGTTTTTACTTTTCTCTTATTGTTCAATACCTTGGCTGCGGCGCGCTGATGAATGTCTGTATATAGCTGCGTGTGTACTTTTTAATTGGATTAATCCATCCATCAAAATTGTGTACATTTAAATGCGATTGCATTAGTGTCACACTTTTGCGCATTGCTCGGAAAGGTGTTTGTATATTTTTCTGTAAGAAATTCAGCTGCGGAATGAAGTGACGGGAAGTTCATAAAATTTGTGGTACGAAATGGCGAAGCAATAAAAAAGAAACTGAAGTAGAATGCGAAATACTAACCTGTTTGCGTGCCGCTATAGCCAGCGCTCCATCGGGTTGATGTGGCAACTATGCAAGATTCCAAAGCTGATTCCGAAGCCGAAAGTTCAGACATTTGATGAAAACCAATCTACTTAGAATGAGACTGTTTAAGGGGCTGTATCCACTCAAAAATAGGTTAAAATTCATTATCTCTTGTTCGCTCATTATTTCACAACCGCCTATAGCTGCCGTGCACCGCTTCCAATCTTCGAGATGATTCCATCTTCCATGTTACGAACGCATGCCYCCAGTTATATTGAGTAAGGCTTTTTAACGATTTCTCTGAACCGAGCGAGGATTGTCTGTGACTTCTGTCTCTTAACCTTGTGCTGGGACCGCCGTCCTCGGCGCCATCAAGCTCCCTTCTAGCTCACTCTAGTGTGCTGAAGTGCTGCTCAGACTGCTAAAAGATTTGGCTGCACCGTAGCATAATTTTTGCTGATATGCGGCGATCCGAATTAAGTTTTCCAAATGCCATCGCCTGCTTCTTACCCAGGCTTTTGGTGTTGCTTGTGGTCTCCCAATTCAAAATTAAGCCTACTCCTCCCRCTTACCTACGTATCCAGCTGGCAGCCCTGTGTTAACTTTCTTACACCTTCTAGCCGCTAGGTGCGCATTCAAAAGGGATAGTTTTTCGCTGACTGGTAGTCACTGACTCACCCACAATTCTATACGATATTATGGTCGTTTCCGACCTACTTGAATGTGGTTCAGTGTTTGTGTTGATATTATTCACACCTATTACGTCCCGGCTCAGAGTCGCTTTTCAACTCCAAGAAGGTAGTTGCCTTTAATAGTTCCAAAGTTAACCCTGTTAAGAGGCAAAGGCGAGGGTTGACATACGATCTTATGGGGCAATGCGTTCAAAGCAAAACGGGTGTCCTCTTAAGCGCATTTTAATGATGACGGGGGAGAAACGTTCTTCGAGACCTGCTATGATTATAACGAGTTAGAAACAGTATCGGCATGAACCCGTCAGCCATTTCAGCAGGAATTCACTACTACATACTCAAGTAAAGAAATACCTCTGCCATAGGTCTAGGGTTCAGACAAATCCAAAGGCTTCACMTCTGAAATCATACTCTGATTCGGTATCCAAGGTCAAGTCAGGTCGAGTTATATATAAAAGTCAGTAGGAGAACAAAATAAAATTGTTAACGACTCTTAAGTAGACATTTACATACGCATAACAGTAATCATATATATTGATGTATACATTATATTTAAATATATACAAAATCGAAAATTACCAACAAATTTACTTCAACTCGGCAATTAACGGTAATGCTAACGGTCATAATGCTTTAAAAAGCAATTTAAGCTGCTATGCATGCCTCACCTTTGTGACTAACGGCCAACATCAAGGACTGCAACGAATGTGGCGATTTCGCTGGCAATTTCTTCAAATTGCTACACCTACAGCTTCTCGTTTAATGAGCTTGCATTTAAGCATATTTGCACTTACGTCGTTTTTATTTTAAACCGGCAATTATTAGGAATTTCGGTAGTTGATGCAAATATTGGTTTTGGTCTTTGCTAACGGAAAATGAAGCTAAGTGCAGAAATCAATTCGTACTGCAATCAATGGCGTTGATTTTTTGAATTTTATGGCACTTTTTATTTAAAGTTTTTTGCCCATATATTATATAATTATAAAGCTTAAAAAAAGAAGAAGRAGCATAGACATTTAAAACCTCTTAGCTGCTTATTTTTTGCACACGGAGCATCTTTTTTGAACACAGTTCCGCAGCTGAAACTTCCCAACTTTGTTTCTGTCAAGTTCGCACTTGACATTTAAATTTATTTTAAGTTTGAAAACAATGGCCGAAAGTTGGCAGTACTGTCCAACTACATTTACTTGTGTAAACTGCGAAATGCTCTTTGCTACGCTGTGTGTATTGCGAAAAGCAGTAACAAAACGGAATTTCAAAGATTAAAGTGGAGGAATAACAGAATTATAAGATTTTCAGGACTAAAGAGTAAAGAAAAAAAGGAAATTAAAAGAAATGAAAAAAAAAATTATATTAAAGAGAAATAAGTATAAAAAGAAATAAGTTAAAAAAGGAAGATAAAAAGAAATGAGTTAAAAAAAAACTACTGTACTGAGCTAACATCGAACTACAGGAGTTCGGCAAAGCACCCTGAACCTATCATAGAATTCTTTAGGTGTTTTATTTCAATTTTCACGAATTCACRTGGATACCTGATATACGAACTGTTTAAGCCGTGATCTATATCATATTCTTTTAAACAGCTGATGCAACTGGCATGATGTGCAATCTTACAGCATGAATCCCGTTCGGACAGCGTGCAGTTAGAACTCCTACAATTTTTGAAAGATAGCTCTCGTTGAGAGCAAAAATCTTTCTAGACCTCTTCCGTTTTACGCTGGTCCAGAAGCAACTTCCGATTGCTCGATTGTTGGAACCTATGCTTCCTGAGCTGGTCTGAGTCCTAACAGTTAAACAGTAAACCACAATAAGCCAAAGGAGCTCCAACTCGCAGTTATTGAGACTGAACTGACTGACCTGTCCTAGCAATTTTATTAGCTTTTCAGTTTTTGCAATACCGCTTTGGCCAGTCACCCAAACCAGTCTTGGTGTAAAAAAAATGGTGCATCCTGGTGACATTGATCSTGACTCTCCTGGTGGTCTGAAAAMAAATCAAAAGAAATTCTTAACCAGTAAGGATGCTGTTATAGTCCCTATTTCAGGAAATACGGAAAWTTTTTTTTTTGGAAAAAATGGCGACTGCCTGAAAATTAAAATAATTTTTAAMGCTTTTTCTTGGAAATTCCTGAATTTTTTTTTAAATACTAAAAACAAAGGATTAAGGATTATATAAAGAAGGTTCGCACAAAATTTCAAGTAAATCGGTTGTATAGAACTTGAGATAATGCAGGTACCGTGTGGAAAAAAGTAGTTTCGAGAAACACACGGTAAATAAGTAATAAACTAAAGTGACTGTAGCTCTTAAAATAATTTTAGTTTTAGAAGATATGTTCTTAAGGGTCTCAACTTTAAATACATGAAAAAAATCGAAATTTTCAAAATTCTTGAGTAKAATACCCCTTTAAAATCCATTAATATCAAAGGGTAAGGAATGTTCATGTAYAGAAATTCTTCGAAGAAAATTTTTATGAAATTGAACGCAAACAATTAAGAGTAATAATTATTTCAACCGTTGATTAGACTCAATTAAGCAATACAACTAATTATATCCGAGTTGTCTACAGTTGTAAACACCTATTTTTATTATCCATAATAACTCAAAATTCGTTACTTAAAAAAAAMTTCAAAATCTCTATTTTCAGGAGGGCTTCACCGATCCGCCATCCACATCGTCCATCAGTCGTCTATTGCGAGGTAATGATCGTACCAGTGAAGACGGACGCAAGGATTATAGTATACACGGCATTTTAGGTGGTAAGTGATATGTAGCAGAAAGGAATTTGTAGAGCAATGGAAAGCAAATTGAAATGCACAACTACAAAGTGAGCAGAACAAATCTAAGACCATAAAATTTACAAAAAAAGTAGAAAAGAAAAGTGGTAACCAAAAATAGAGACCAGTTAGCGATGCAAGCAAGCGCCAACTATCGCTTGATCTCTCCATCAATGCCGCGCTGGTCCWATTAAGAGAAATTGACGTACAAATTTCACCACGGCTTTAATGTGACACATTAAGCGACAAATTAGTTGCTACTAAGTAGTCGTGCCGACCTTTCGTCTGGCTTACATGGTAGCCGCAAGCGAGCAAGCATTTGTTAAAATCATCGATTGGAAATGAAAGAGTCGCCGCCGCCGCCGCCACCAATAAGACCAACTAATGAACGGTTGACAGTTACTCACCCCTGCCGTGCGGCAAGTCCGCACTAACGCGCTACTACTATGAAGTTAGTTAATGCGGCCCCAAGAAGCGACAGCAGCAAAACACTTGTCACACTCACTTTATTTTTAGATGGCATTTTCGTCTACTCATCGTGTCTGTGTTGACTGTGTTGAACGATCGGCTTTCGATTTTCTTCTATGTATATAATTGTGCAGGTTGAAAAGATTACCGAAAATTACAGATCATTTATTTGATAATTTGAAAATCATCATCAAATCATTTGTTGGACTCAAATCAACCAACTGATTTTATTTGGCGGCATTTTCACTTTGATCCGACTTAGTAAGCAAGCGTAAGAGCGAGCGAGCGAGAGACGAAGCATTCAAACTAACCAAGTATACCATGGATACATTCGTGTGAGTGTGTCGTTGTCTTTCGTTCTAACGATCGTTTGATCGTTTGATCGTTGCTCGCATTAGAGGGCGCAAGAGTTCACAACTCTTCATAATTGCCGATCAATGTTACTTACAAATACAAATAAKGTACGAGTATTACAATAGATCGTCGCTGTGATAACGATCTTGATATTAAGCTTGTTGTACGACAGCGAGTAATAGCAATATGACGAAGATTACATCAAAGCAGGCCTAGGCCTGTTGAAAGTTGAAAGTGTATAGTAGAGCAAAAGAACAAGAGGCAATGTGTTGACGATGACACCTGAAAATCAAAATCATTAAACGCGTACGGCATCAAAAGATCGGCGATGTGTCGGCGTATTTTGTTTTTTTCGCTTTTAATTTTCATCTTCTTTTTGTTTACTTTGGGTAGGCTTGTGTTTTTTAATCACTGAAAGTAATAGCTAATAAGTAGAAATCTTTGCCAGACTAACAGGTTCTTTGGTACAGAATAATATTTTTTTTTTATCTAAAGGGTGTTGAAAGATCATTTTGGGTTTCTTCGTTATTTCCAACTGCAACCAATTACTTGATCAAAGTGAGAATAAAGCTCCTTTTTGACCGTTCTCCGCGGACATGGTATCAAAGAGGATCCTAAGTTAGTCAACTTATCAGCTTTTTCGTTACCGAAAATGCTGTGAGAGAATCACGAGGTCGGGAAACCATATTAAGGAAAAGTGGCGTTGATYCACTAGTGAGCTTAAAAACTTTTTTTTCAATGGTTAACTACACTGGCCTTAATAAGTAGCGCCGACAAGGCTGTCCATGTATTTGGTTGCTTTCTGTAACCTTCCTTACCTGCCCTCGTCCAAATTCAAGAGACCACCAAAGCTCTTTTCTATGCCTAGTACTTCCAGCCGGAAAATGCTGGCTGACTTTTGGAAATTCTATRGAACATCACAGGTTACCTCTATATTTAGTGTATTTAGTATTTCCGCTCAGAAGATGCTGGCTGAGTTATATAAGATAAAGAGAGAGTCAGATTTCGAGGTCGTCGTAGTATAAAATCGCTCCTACTTCGCAGCTTATTTTGGACTCGTCGGTATAGATAAAGTCTGTATCATCCTCTGCTACTTAAACTGTTCTCCATTCATATTTAGAGAGTATTCTCACCCGAAATTTGCTATTGCAATATAAACTTATGAGATTATAGTCTGATTTACTTACGTTTTGGTGGTTCCGGATGAAGTTTTCGTCTTCCAACCACCTAAACCCTGTACTCTTAGAGCAGAACTTGGTTTTACTTTTTGAGTAAAGACGTCTGTAGACAGCGGATGCAGAAGTTTAGTGAGCGTATCAGTCGGACATGACCTAAAAGCTCCGGAAACCCCTGTATAGACTGTTCTCTGTACTAGTTTTTAGTACTTTGAATTTTTTATCCACGAAAATTTAKATTTATTGGGCAACAATATCCGCTTCATGGGTGTATTTCGAAGTACTCTACGTAAATTTTATAGTAAAGGAACGTTAGTACACTCTGAATATACTATCCCCACGATTTTCAGGTCAAAGTAGCTGGATTGGATGCGGAATTTTAACCGGTAAAAGACGGCCAACGCTGAACTGTTTCTTGAAATTACTTCAGGAATATTTTCTGCCGCTGCAACAACAAAGGGATATGATCTTTTTTGTCTTTTTCTGGGAGATCGTTTTCGATTTTTATGAGGAAGATGGTTCAATCAGATTTTGGTTATGGAAAATGTAATTATAGAAGATCTTTTGGGATCAGCAAGGATCAGAATTTTTGATGCTTCCACAAATCTAAATCTGTGTTTACAAATTGAAACACCCTTTAAATGCATACTGACTGCATTCTGACTACCTACACGTTTCAGCGAGTCTCGTGAGTCGAGGAGCTACAAACTGCTCGTCGAAATTCTACACCGACTAATCACTAAATATGCAAAGTCATGCGATAAATGATCCAGTAAAGAGGAAATAAATATGTGCGAGGGGAAACCTAAAGCAATACCGAAAAAAGCAGATTAGGCAAAGCAGATTAGGCAAAAGTAGGAAGAGCTATCTGAGTCCGACTTAGACGACGTTGGCTTGAGTAGAAAATTATGTTTGTAGTGMAAATGCGATCGTTTAAATAATTTGTAGAGAAATTATACAAATAAGCAATGGTGATAAAATTAATTATTTTAGTAGCTTCAACATCATCACTGCAAATGGACATTTCTTGAAGTAAATAATAAAAAAAAAAACGGGATGTAGTAGCAGTTATGTGTGAGTCATAAAAGTAAAGGTAATGTTAAGCGATGAGATTTTCTTCAATTGACTAGAATCGGCTTAGCCTTTGATCTCTTGGAAATACACAACAGCGGCAAGATATCAAAGATCAGGTGAGAATAGAGCCTCACTTACAACAAATACTTTGACAGCAAMTGTTGCATGTTTTTATTGTTTTTTATTGAAAAAGACAAACCTAATGAACCGCAACGCATATAAATAATTAAACAAGTGAATATGTCTCGCTTGGCTGTTGTTTTTGCCAAAAGAGAGTGTCACGAATTGGCAAACATATGCAACAAAGGCTGATGAGCAACGTCGCAAGGCTTGAACGCATTGTTGTTGTGCGCATAAACAGTTAATTATGCCGGCAAAATGCAGTTACACACACACACCACTGCAGCGAAAGTTGACTTCAGGGTCGGCACAGTCTCTGGGTGCCTATTTATTGTGACAAGCAGGATMATAGGCAGCGGCTCATTGATGTCCTGTGACAATGAGAGAGAAACTGTCAATGAAGGCGCAGCGCAAATGAGCAAAAAAATGCCAGACAATTGATCTGTTTATGACTTTGCATCAATGAGTTGCGTATACACTGGCATTGTACGGCGTATTTGTAAGCCTTGGCAGGATATTTGCGTAATGTTATTCAATGTATTTTACAAAAATAATAACAATAACAATGTTCGACATGTCTGTCAAGTGCCTTGCTATAATATTATGATCGATGCGTATTTAGTGTCCGAAAACTGTGGAGTTAATAATTGAAAATTTGTTAAACTCTGGGCGGCGTCCTTTGAAGATATCGTAGACCTGATTAATTTTGTGAGGAGTGACATCCATAAGAGAATCATGTGGAAAAKCTACTATGAATTTTGAAAGRACCCGTAAAAAKAAGATCGACACACACCACTTCCCCGTCGATTTTAAAGCCGCCTTCAACAGCATGAAAAGRAAYTGYCTYTATGCCGCTATATCTGAACTTGGTATTCCCGCAAAGCTAATACRACWATGTRAGCWGACGTTGAGCCRCACCAAAAGCTCCGTCAGGATCGGGAATGACTTCASCGAGCCGTTCGATACGCAGCGAGGCCTCAACAATCGCCCCGCCATTTCTGCTTTCTCGAGCTTGGCTAAAGAAGCGAAGGGTATGATCCATTGACTTAGTTCAAAGA